ACGGAAATGTTGACCCCGATGTGATAAAACAGCAATCGGGTAGAGTACCCGAGTTAATTTCAGCAGGCTAAACCTCGCACCCTAACGTTAATGCGCACTGAAAGACTCTTCACATTCCCTCATCTGGTGTGACAGAAGCGTTCATGACCAGGTGCCAAAAAGATAACGACTGATAAATAAACTGTTTGGATTTGGAAAACATTACAATTCCTGCCTTGGAGGTAAATTAAAATGTCCCTGGATGACGGAAACCCCAGAGTCAGCTCAGTGCCAACTGTATATGAGAACCATACTGTACCTCCTCTGTGTCGCCGTCCTTCAGTCCTCCTGTCATGCTGCCCTCAGGTTTGAGCAGATCAGCGCGTTGATACAGACAAGAAAGACAATATAGGAAGTGGAGAGGGAGGCGTGAGGCAAACTGAGAGGACCGGGGCTCCTCTCAAGGACATGCAGAGATTTAATTCCTGCCCTTTTTCTTTGAACGCGACTAGAATTTAATGCCAGTGGCTGTGAGGGGGAACCTCCGGGGTTTCCTCTCTGATCCTCTCAGCGCAGAGCGTGTCTTTAACGCAGCCCGGGGAGATCACCTGTGATGTGGGCAGAGAGAGGAGAACCACCGTGGAACCTTCCCGGCTGGAGGAGAGACTGACTCGGTCTCAGGCTACAGGGCTGTTTTAACTTGCGTGGAATCTCTATATTTGGGGATCAGGGCAGAATAAATAAGCCTTTGTTCAGCGAAATGTGGGCGTTAATTGGGGATGGCAAGGTGTGGATACTTGCCATACCTTAGTCTGGGAGAGGCAGATTCACCCAGCTGCAATAGAGAAAGTAAGGGAAATAGAAAAACATACTTTTTAGAAGCAGTCTGAACAAACCTTCAGCAAATACAGATGCACTTGCTCAGTCGTTTGTAGCCTCACAGGGTTAATTGTGAAGCCATGCTGGTCATTCTGGTCTGTTTACATTCTTCTGTCTACTCACCTTGGAGAGACTATCTGGCACACTCAGCTGTTTTCAGCCACTGGATGACAGTTTTAGGTGTAACTGATGGGTGCGACCCTGAAACAACCCAGTAATAGTGCAAAAATAATTTCTCCTTTCCTTCATTTTTTTGTGAGAACATGAAAAGAGGTTTGGGGATTTTGTCCAGTTTTTAGTTCTCAACAAAAGTGTCTTTATGTGTATTTTAAGCTTTGTGACAATTAAGGAACACATTTAAGATATCCTGTAAAAGATTCTGGTCCCATTAAAATGCTAAAATCTACATATGATGATGGGTTTTAAATAATAAGGGTAAGGTGTTTTTCCACTATTTAATAATCCTGAGAGTTGTTTTCCTGATGATCTTAAGAGCTTAAAAAACAGTAATGGAAGCTAAACACCCGTTAAAGGGACAGTTTATAACATTAAGTTGCTCTTAATAATAATTGGTGACTGTTTTATATGGAATTAGAAAAGAATTTATTAAGAATTTATAAAATCTTTAGTTAATACTCAGAAACCATCAGAAAGTTGGATTGTTAGAAAGCAACTAATACCAAGTTTTCTGAATTCTGTACATTTCTGACGTTTGACAGTGAGCATCTGTGTTATGAGTGTTAACACAGCCTTTCTCTGGAAATCAGTTTTACCTTTTGTTTTTGTTTTAATGGTCAGCACACGACCCTGCTCCTTAACCCTGTTCAGACAGGTGAACCTGTAATAATAGCTCATTCTGCACAGTGAGGACGACATCGGTTAAAACACACAAGAAACTGAGGACACGCAGGGTTGACTGATTCTCTTGCTTGTGATGCTGCAGGTCTCTGTCTCTTTTAAAACAACTGATAGGCCAAGAGCACAATAAATACACATTTAGAAGGATAATGATTAGCCTGAAAAAGGCTGTGAATGTCGTAGATATACTGTCTGAAACTAAAACAACACAAACGAAAAAGTGAAATGTTCAATCTGCAAACATTAGAGTGCGATTTTTTTATGATTAAGACACAGAACGTTTGCAGATGCTCATTTGGCTCAGTGGACACACGACTGATGGAAATTCCTGACTATTGTATGTATCATAGTAATATAGCAGACACAGCAGTGAGTAGCCAGAAGTAATAGTGATAGATTCATAGTGAGAGGTGAACCACGGTGGCAGTGTCGGCTGTAAAACCTATATGATAGCAGTAAAATAACATTACTACAGCAGCAGTAAGTAGTTGTAAAAGCAGCAGTACTCTGAGCTGTAATAGTGTTTGATTAGTGACAGTGGTTCAGTGACAGCAGCAGAGGTGTAATAGTCAATTCAGCCAGAGCAACAGATGTCATCAGTTGTAAGAGTAGTCGTAGTTTCAATCAAAGCTGCATCACTTTATTATTGTTCCATCATTACTATTAGCAGTAACATTAAGGATAATTCAATTCTGTGGGGATTTCTGTTTGACTGCCAGTCTGGATCAAGGTCAGGGGTCAAAGGTCAGGGTCAGCTGCTGGACTCTTTGGGGACTCTTGCTCCCTGAGTGTCTCGTGGTGGTGCTGAGCATCACGTGCATCCTAAAACAGGTAAGGGTCAGAACTTACAGCTTCATGTCTGGGAGCTTTTATGTTTTCATTGTAGCAAGATAAAAAACCTTCTCGGCCAATTTCGATAAAATCTTGTGGAGGGATGATGCATGAACCGGGGGAGAACCCATTATATTTCCATGCAGATCTGGATCAGGTCTTGTGTCCTTGACTTTTTTTTAATATTGTGAGATCTAAAATGAGGCAAGTTTAATGGAGTGAATTAAAATGTGGTTTCATGAGGGGACTGTTTGACCTTGGTGGAGGTATGTTCTGAACAGTGTCATTCTAGTGACATAATTAATTTGTTGTATTGTAACTACTACTATAACTACAAAACATTATATTTATCCTGCCTGGCTGAGGTCAATGTCTTTCATAAAATGAAATCATGCCTTATTCCTGTTCAGATGTATGGTTTATATATAACGTAGAGTGATTTACAGAACTGATCACTCAATGTTACAGTTACATGTTTAGTCCTGAATGACATTGAAGTGCAGAAACATCTGGCTTATTGATCTCATCCCTACTGACATATACCTTTCATGTTACATTTATTAGTTAGTTTATGTTAAAAGTGTGAATTCAAAATGGATAGAGATCTTACATGCTTTTGGGTTAGATACCAAACATCACAAACAAACACAAGTTAAGTTACAGCTGCAGATGGAACAAATATGAGGTGCAGAGAGGTAAGATGAGTGCAGGAGGCAGAAATGCTGTGCACGCCTGCAGGTCTAAAAGCGAAGCCTCAGGTAATGTTCCATCGACCTACAGCTTATTTTTGTATAAGTAAGTGTCTTATGCAATCTCTGCAAAGTGATTTATGAGGCTTCTCTGGCACTCAGCTGCACGTCCCTTTTCCCAACCACACTCATCATCTTTGACAGAGAGAAGCCACACACAGAAGATTTAGCTTCAGGAAAAACAAATTCTTTAACCTCATTTATGAAGAACGTTTGGTTTGTTAAAGTAAAATAGATTTGCTCCACAATGAGTTTATCCACACTGAGTAAAGCTGCAGTTAAAATGATTTGGAGCAGAGAATATAATACACATTTATAATCACTTCCCGACAGGTGCTCCGTCACACTGTGATTTATTTGTCTAAAATGGATCGATGACATTTGAAGAATAGCTGATCTGAGGTTGCTCTGTGCTACATGTTATGTTGAAAACAGAAAAAGCTTTGGCCACATGTGTCTCTGTTCCAATATTTCACAACCTCACATTGAATTGAAACACAGACATACTAGCTGGCAACTTGTCAGCTGTCCAACACCAGTGAAAGGATTTCAAAGCTCTTCAGAACTGCTTTGTTTCTACTGTCAGCAGGAAACAAAACATTGCATCGCCCAGTTTCAGTCTTCTGTTGTGTCACAGGTCTGTCTGGTGCAGAAGTTCAGCAGCTTATAACAATGCAATGCTGAGGAATAAGCTGGAATTTAAAAAAACTGTGAAGTGTAATAATAAAAATAATCCCATCTACATCTGGACAAACCCTCCACGTCCAACTGTGCATGGTATTCAGGTATGGGATACATATCCTGCCGAATTCTGACCCTGAAAAAGAATTATTTCACCTCTACTTATCGTTAATAGAAGTTTGACCCCCTGGTGTTAAAATAGAAACGTGCACTGGCATTTTCTCCAATGATCTTTGTGTTAGAGAGCAGGTGTATAATCCAAGCATCCTAGGCCATGAACATTTAACCATGAGCAGTCATAGCTGCAACTTTTCAGCATCAATGTTATTTATATTGGCTCGAATAAAACTACAGAGAATTATCTGTCATTTTTGCAGGTCTATTGTGCTTTTAGCTCAATATTTTTGGTTTTACAGCTTATTTACAATATAGTTCAGTCTCAACACTCTCATCAAATCTGTTCTCATGCAGCAGACACGCTCTGATAAACTCACAGTAGTACACATATCTGTCCATGCAGAACAGACAAGCCTCAGAAGAAGTTGATTCATCACAAGTGGTTAAGGGAGAATAAATGTTGGTGTTGCTCTGTGGATATAGGCAACTATTAGCTCATATGTTAGCTATAACGGGTGGCTGTGGCTGAGAGGTAGAGTGGTTGTCCTCCAACCAGAAGGTCTGCAGGACAATTCCAGTCTTCCCCATCTGCATGCTGAAGTGTCCTTGGGCAAGAACCCTGAATTGCCCCTCACAGGGGAAAAAAAAGTGCTGCGAATAGATGCACTGTATAAATGTGTGTGTGAATGGGTGATTGGCAAACTTTACTTTAAATCACTTCGAGTGGTCATCAAAACTAGAAAAGCTCTATATAGATACAAACCATTTACCATAACAAGGGGATAATTAATCAGAGGTATGTGTATTTTCTCTTGTTGCTTTAAATATTGATTGTAGGTTTTATGGCTGCACAGACTGTATTGAATGAATGCATTAGATTCAATAATTAAAGACAGATACAGTATGTGGTCTTAGAAAATACATCTGTTTATTACAGGTTTGTTCACACGTAATAGCAAAAGGAAAAAGGGGAAATCTCTCTATAAAGCACATTTCAGTATCAGCACACAAAAGAAACTCAGCTCCACTCATTCTCTCTCTATCGTCTTCTACATGTCAGATTGTACAGCTCAGAGCTAGTGAACTTTATCAAATCCACAGCAAAAAGAGAAATGATGTGGCTGATTAGAGGTAGGGTTGGTAATCTGTTTCAGAAGAACTTTTTATCATATTTGTTTAAATCCTCTTCACATCCCGAGAGCCATCAATGATCAATGGAAAAAGCTGGTGTCTGTGGCCCTAGCTGTAGGACTGTAGTAAACACAACCAATCGGTCTCATTCACATGAAATGATTGGCTTGTGTACCTAACAAACCGACCTGCCTGAGACGACAGTCAGAAGGTGGAAAGCAATTCACTGAAAAGTAGTTATCTAGCTGTTGTCAGTGCACGTTCATGTGTTTTGGAGACTCAGCATTGACCAGAGGGCTGATGGGAGGAGGTGGGATATATCGTTTGTGTTCTGTCAAAGTGTAGCCTTCTCTTGTGATCTTTTCCAGGATTACCAACCCTAGCTTTAAAGTCCTTCTCGCTGTAGAAGTATGGTTCTCAGCACAGCCTGAGCACTGGCAGCTCTGTAGCAAACAGCAAGCACCTCTAAATGTAATGTGCATGTACCAGAGTCTGAGCTCAACCCAGCAGTACGTCTTCAACTTCTTTGGAGTCAGACACCACCAAATGTTTGCCGATGATTGCATAAATAATAAATTAGAACACCACCCCTCTGAGGATATTTAGTCTGTTTTTTTTTTTTAACATAGATTCATGTTAATAAAGCTCTACTGCATATAGCTTCTAGGTCCATAAGAAAGCTAAAGCCTGATATTGCCAATGCACTGTGAGATCAACACAGCAGATAAAATAAGCCTGTGAATGTGCAACAAGCTGCGTCTCAGCATTTAATATTCACATCATTACATTCAACTTCTAGCTGAACTCTTTGCAATATATACATATAAAGAAAGCAGAAATATGACATCTCATAGCCAGTCAGCAGTATGTTAGCTTTAACAATAATACACTCAAAATAATGGAATGACAAGAATTTTGTTTTGGTCACAATCAACAAAACAACTCAGCTCTGAGTGGTAACACTGAGCTCCTTATAAAGTCTGAAGCGTTTGTTATAACTGCTTGTTATGTTGTATCTTATTAAAGTTCCTGTAGCGCTAAGTTCCTGTCATGATAAACAGGAGAGGGTCTGTTCACTGTTCCATCTACAGTAGTTAATCTTGTTTACAGGATTCTCCAGGATTTTATTATTTACTTTATAAGAACTCATACCACTTGGATCATTCACTCCTGCATTTCTTCCCCCCGTCTGCATCAGTTCTCGGTGGTTTGGACTTGAATGGAGGACAGGCTCTTTCCCATGCTGTGGAAGAGCGGTGTGATGAACATGTCCGTCAGACTCCTCCACACAATCCGGGCGGACGGTAGGAGCATCAAGAAGCTCTGGATCACAGGCATCACCAACCTGGAAGGACAAGGTTAAAGAAAGGTTACTAAGGAACAGATGCTGAAAAACAAGGCAAGAGTCAAGAGTCCTTCTGTTTGACTGCAGTATTTATTGATTTCACATTTTTTATTATTCTAAGTCAAAACCAGTCAAAAATACCCTGCTTGTGTTTAGATATCGCTGGAGAAGCAACAGCACAGAAGAGTGTGAGGAGAGCTGAAGCTGGAGCGAAGGAATTCTAAGCACTAACAGGCTATTTGAGTGCGAGCGTAGGGTTTTGAGTGAGAGACATGGGCCAAGAAAGAACCCATTAACTTGTGGAAAGGATTCATTGCAAGGTCGGGCATTTTTCAACATTGTTGTCAATTTCTCTAAAAATAATGCAAACAAAAAATCAATCATTGCAAAGTGCTAATATCTATGAACAGTTGAAATGTGATGCTGATAATGTTTCTGATCTCAACACATTAAGCCAGGATCTATATCACTTATCCTTTGATGGGTGAGAGGCGGGTTTCACCCTGGGCAGGTCGCCAGCGTATCACAGGGCAAACATACAGACACCAACAACCACTTACATTTACATTCACACTTATGATCAATTTAGAGACTGCAGTTAACCTATAACCCCAGTCTGCATGTTTGTGGACTGTGGGAGGAAGCTGGAGTACCACGCTGACACAGGGACAACATGAGGGGACGATATGGTGAGAAAAGGCCCAATCCACTTCCAAGTTCATCTCTGTGTTTCAAATAACTGAAGACCACAATATGAATATGAAAATCAGTCTTGGCTCTGACAGCATGACATGTTGGTTATGTTATTTGATGCCTGCATCTCTTTATCACCGTTAAACCTTTAACTTTAGGGTAAGTTTATAAAAGTTCCCCTCCTTGTGACAGTGCTTTTCCTCCTGGTACTCAAGAAGAAATGCAGTTTGAGCATTACACACTCTAAAGGTCAAACTAAATGGAGGGATGTATGATTCGTGCAAGGTCTAGATCTGTTCTTCATCATCATTCCAGCAACACACGTTTGTAGCATCTACAGTATTTTCAGTATAATGTCATCCCTTGTTTGGCCTGTTTGACATCTGTGTTGATACCAGTGGTCAAGATAATCCAGTATTGAATATTTATTTTGTGCATCTACCAACTAATTCCACAAATGTCTGTCTATCTGTATGTCTGTGTATCTTGCGAATGAGTCATCTTATAAACTACAGCAGCGGTTTGATGCATAACAGATCTCTGAAATAACACTTAACTGCGGTTAAGTAAATAATTCAAACTTAACCAAGCAAATAATAAGTATTGAAACAACAGCAGTTTGATTTCACATGAAAAACATTGACTCTAAATTCAACCAGGTGGAATGAACACACATTTTTTCTAGTTTTTAACTTTGCACCAAAGATAAAAAGCTCAGTGCACAACGTCCAGCCAACAAACTATATAAAAGTGAAAGTCTATCATAGAACTATTTCAGGAGAACGAGCACCACTAGTTTGCACTAATACATTTTTTACTTGATTGTGTTTTGGTGGATATTTCCCATGATACCATATTTTAAAGCCATGTGTGATATGTGTGTTATCTTATCTAGGAACCGTAACTACCTCTGTGATTTGTTCTTAAAAAAACTATTTAAACAATTGTCTCATAAGCCTCTGTGTGATCTCCCTTCCTGACATTCCACATGTATTGACCGGCTCAGTGTCACCACTCAGTCCTCTATTGATCCAAGAGGCGGCTTCTTCCTTCATACACTGTGGTTGAAGGAGCCACGCAGCCCGAGCCTGTGACCTCACCAAGGTAAAAGGTCATGCGAAAGAATCACCACAGTTCTCTATCTGCGTCTGAAGAATGTCCCACTCCGGTCTGAAAATAGGCTTCAGTTGCTACTATGCCAGCGATCTGGTAAAAGACGTGGGACATTTTTTTTTCCATTACTTTTTTCCCCCACTACACAACTCAACATTCCTCCCAACTTTCCACAGAACACTTTCTCCAGGGACTTAAATGTTGTTTCATCAAGTGTTACTAAATGGACTCTTGGTTGTGGTCGGGAACTTACTTGTTGCTTGAAAGTCTGGAAGCACCTGGTTCACCTCCATACGAGTACACTTAGCCAACACAAGCCTGACGTAATTATCCAAATAAGTTATATCAACAACTTATAGTCATGTCACACCACGTGTGACGTTGACAGTAAAAATAACTTGCGTCAGTATTTGCCTAAAATGATAGAATAATGCTGGTGAGCAGCATTGGACTGTGGGGACAGTCACATAATGTTTTGCTGCTCATCATTATACTTTCATTTTTTAATTAATAGGCTGTTATATTTTGGATGTTATGTGTCAACAAGTTCTCTGATGCTCTTTTAAGAATTCTACTTATTCTGTACTTGATATTTTTGGGAAATCACTAGAATATTTAGACTGTATAATATGTTATCTAGAACTTATGACCTCTTGATTTTAATGTTTACCTTTTCCCAAATTCTGAATAGGTCCACCAGGGGTGGATGTAGGGGTCGGGTCAAGGGGGCACTGGCCCTAACTGAAATCAGATTGGCCCCTGAATTCCCCCGTCCTGTTTTTAGTCTTAAAGTATAATACATAAACTAAAACTAACTATTTTATTTTCGAAGTTTCATGATAAGTATGATGGGCCAACAAGGAACAATTTTCAAAACATATTTAATGATTAGTGTCTTTGAATCAATCTAATAGAGCTAACAGTAAATAAGGACTGACTTCAATGTGCACCTGACTGAATCAGGAATTGTGCATCATGGGTGTTCCACATACATTTGGCCCCCATGTGTAAAGTGTGGCAGTTTAATGGCTCAAGAAAAATCCCAGAGCCACCACTGTTGCAACCTAGTGTGGAAGAAAACCATTATCTCATTTAAGGGTAACATCTGGCACAGTGTCAGACAGAACAGGCTACATGAGCAGCACCGAACAGAGCTGCAGGCATGGGAGCAACCTCTTCCTACCAGATGTGGATGCAGCTGAGCACCGCGAACACCAGACCGAGGATGAACGCTATGGGCACGGCCAGCAGAGTGGTCAGCAGCCGGTAAAAGATGAATTTGACCAGTTCGAACGCAGCGTGGCTTCCGATCCACACTTTGTCGAAGCTGTGCGCGGAGACCGGCTCAGCAATGACATCTTCAAACCCGACCTGTCAGATCACACACAGGTTGTGGACATGTTAGAGGGACAAACACATGATAGTAGAAAGTTGTACAGGAAGGAAACTGTGCGTGATGGTGACGCGCACCGAGCCACTTCCAGGCATTCATGCTGCAGATTGCCAGTTTCAGAGTTCATTACATGGAAACAACAAGGTGACCTTGGTTGTACCAGCTGATAATTCATCTTAACAGCTGCTGATTGTTTGGTTTCACTTTGAAATTCATTCCGCGCAAGGCGCAGACTTTACCTTCAAGTGCGCGTTGACATCGTTTGGATCTCGGTCCGGCTCCGCTGCGTACACTTTCCCCTTCTTCGACAGAATAGGCTCAATCGATCTGTTGAACTCATCTGCGTCCATAATGATACTAGTGTCCGATTTCTCCTTCTCCAGTCCCATGGTGTCCTGTCAGACGCGCAGAAGGCACGGGGAGAGCAGCTGGTGACGGTGCGCTCTGCGCTCTGCGTCTGTTCGAGCGCCACCCCGCCCCGTACGGAAAGGCAGCTCAGCGTGGGGTCCGTGGAGACACAACACACTCTAAGTCACGTCCCCAGACCCTTAAAGAGCTCAGAGATGACTGACACCACTGTGCTGCGGATACACTGGCCTCCAGTCATGATGGAGACGGGAATTGTCCTCATGCCAGCTGAAGACACCAGTCCTCTGCCGCCATGTGATAAAGCTGCAGGCTACGTCTCTGTTTACAACTGTGAGACTAATCTTTTTGAGAATTGGTAATTTCAGGTTAGGCATTAATCTTTCTCACATCTAGGTGATGTTTTGGAAAATGTAACCACCTGTCATTTTGAGTCATGCTGCAGAAAACAACACAAATCATGTTTATTTTTCTCAACACTGCTTATTATTGTTGCTGAAGCTAAACACCCTGTTCTCTTCTACCTGTTGAGTTGATTTACTAGATTTTTTTTCTTTTCTCTAGGTGTGGATTTATTGCTCTCTGGCTGCTTCGAGCTCTGAACACATGCCATGTGCAAACATTGTTAGAATAACTGCAGATTATTCATATCTCTGATCAGGAACCTGAACAGGAAGACATCTTCCTCGGGCAGCTGCATGGTGTTCCATACAATATGTCTGAGGATCGACCCCATGCACCCACATCACATATACGGTGCAAATCTTGTTGATGTGGGGAATTCCCCATTAACTATCTATTTATATATATATATATATATATATATATATGTGTGTTTGCATAAATAGTTTGGATAAATTACGACATTTTCTTTGTAGGTTCTCCTCCTCAATCATGTTGTGTTGTACAGATGATGTCAAAATATCATTGTGTCATCAAACTGTAACAGGTGTTTTTTCATGTACCTGTGCCTACATTTTGTTTACAGAAAGTACATTATTTGAGTAAAAGTGAATTCCACATTCACACAAGCTGCTTTTAGACTTGCACTGAACTCCAGATAATATCCTGACATTCTCTGGGGGCTGTATGTGAGAATGCAAATGTATGAATGAGAGTCTCCGTACTTTCTCTGGAGTTTCTCCTGCCAGACCCCTTGTGAAAACTCAGGAGAATGTCTGAATGAGCCCACGTGAGAACACTGCAGGAGATCGTCTGCAGGATTCACTGTGAACAGTGAAAGAGAGCTTTTTGGTGATAAGAGGCAACGCAGGTAGATCTCCCGAACCAGAAGAGCGGCTGCAGTAACAAACGCACCAAACTTTGTTAAGAATTTTTCATATTTGCAAAGTTTCCTGGCTGAATATTGGAGATCAACACTGGTTGACTCCTAAATCTTTTTAACTGATCTACAGTTTTGCATTTCAGCTGAATTTGCTGGGCCTGATTCCTACAGTCTGTCATTCAGTTCCAGTTCTAACCCCACTCACCAAATTTACATAGAACATATGATAGAATAATATGCACAGTGCTGCTTTAACAATGAAAAGGACATTTCACCTTAATCTCTTCAACATGTCTGTCTTATTTAAAAAAAAGCCTGACTGCAGTCCTGCACTTTGCATTGTTAATGTTGCAGGTCCTACATCCTGCCTAATGATCGGCAACATGTAAACAACAACCTCATTAGTTTAACACACCAGGACATGACTCACAGAGACATACAAAAGTAGGCCAGAGCAGTGAGTGTCAACAAATCAGAAACACAGCATGCAGAGCAGAGAGACACTGGGCATTCAGAGCAGTGCGAGGGATCCCTGGCCCTGAGCACGGGGACAATACAACACCACAATCCTCCTGGATTAACACACAGAGGGCCATTCTGACAGACAAGCATTACGCAGGGGGGAGACCTGGCTGGCTGGCCTGAGGGTGAGGCAGGGGTGGGAGGACAGTGTTGACATGAGAGTATGTGAGTGTATGAAAGAGAGCGCAGCAGAGGAAGCCAATGGTTTTGGTTTGTGTTACACTTTGGACAGCGATGTGAAGAGATCGTACTTAAAGGGACAGTTCACCGAAGAATGAAACTCATTATCTACTCACCACTATGCCGATGGATGGATGGGTGCAGTGTTTGGTGCCCGGTTCACGTTCGCACGCACACACCGGGAACACTGCACACAAGCTCTCGCCCAACGTCGTGCAAGGGGTGCACTTTCGCATCACTATATCCACTAGCATCGATACTTCCAAGAGTTGACAATTAAAACGTGGTATAAATGATCCTGTTTTGAGTCAAATTTGCAGAGGAGCCTAATAATGATGCAGAAAATGCACAGTCAGTCTGTCCAACACTTTTCATTTTCATACAATATGGGCCGACAAAATTATATTATAACACCTGAACTTTCATCACTCACGTTCATGGTCCCAAAAGGATGCATTTGAATGTTCAAACAGATCTGTCATTTATTTTTGATTTTCCATTATTAGACCTATGAATATATATATATATTCAAGCAAAATCACACCATCAAAAGATTTGTTCTCCCTGAAGAGTAACTCGTTCCATTTCAGGATCTTAATCTCAGGCCAAAAGATGAAGTTATATAAACTATGGACAAAATATTCTTCATATTCAAAGTAGGAGATTTCACTGGAATTCAATGGACTGTATTTATATAGTACTTCTCCAGTCCACCACTCAAAGCACTCAAGTCCCATTGACACATTCACATCAGCTTGTGTACACACATTCACACAATGCCTCTATGTACATTAACACTTTTCCAATCACACAGCATTCATACACTGTAGGCGTCAGGGGCAATTTGAGGTTCAGTATCTTGTCAAAGGAATAGAGGAGCCAGGGATCCAACCACCAACCTTCTGGACCACAGGTGTACTACTGGGCACACTTTTCTTTTCTGAGATGCACTCAATATAGTGTCAGGACTGGTACATTTTGGAGGGAGCAGGTGGACCCAAAGATGCAGAACAAGAAAAGATTTGACCAAAAAGTGTTTTTTTAATTGAGGCAGGGCTTTTACAAAGAAAACAAACAAAATCCAAAAGAACAGTAAACTCAAAATGCTCTTCAGCAGAAACAGGGGAGACAGAAGGAGACACTGGAGGACTTACTTGAGGGAGAAGAAACAACGACCGAGAGGAGAGACAACGTAATGCGACATACTACTGCAACATACGACATAGCACAACAATGAACCTTAAAAACGAGGGAAAGCACAGAGACTTAAATACACACTGAATTAGTGACAAACTAGAGACAGGTGGCACAGGACAAACAGGTGAACCTGACTACGGCAGGAAGTCCAGGTGGAAAACACACAAGGAGCAGAAACTACAAAATAAAACAGGAAACAGAGAGGAACACAGAGGAACACTGAGAGGAGCACAGAGTGGGACACAGAGGGGGTCACAGAGGGGGACACAGGGAAGAACACAGGGAGGAACACAGAGAGGGACACAGAGAGGGACACAGAAAGAAACACAGAATGCGACACGGAAAAAACACCAGGAGCAAAACTTAAAACGCAAATCCAAACATAAGGAAACACAGTCCATAATAGGAATGAAAAATCTCTTTTCATAAAAGAGGACAAAACACAAGAGTCATGACAAGGACAACTTTTAGTCTTGTCACTTGTTGTGCAGTGTACAGGAGGAGTGAGGACATTTTTGGTTTAAAATCAGTGACAATGGGTCATATGGACAGAAAACATGGAGGCCAGGCTGTGGCTTCATCCGACACGCCTAATCAATGTTTCCTCCCATTACAACTGATATACCAGACGGAAATTGTTTGCAAGAATTGTGAAAGTAAACAATGTCAGACTGTAAATCATGAGCTTTCGCTTTCATCGCAGACAATGTACTCGTACAGTGTGAGTGTGAAGCGATCTAAAATTGCACAGTATATGTCCAGCTTTATGCTCCCAATGCAATGAACCATTTCCTACATTCTGGATAATATTTCTGCACAGTGTTGTGCATGAAAGTGCTGGGAGACCAAAATCATTGAACAATGTTGAGTGTTGACCTTTATGGATCAGTTTGCAATTACAGAACGTGAACTCTCATGAGACAAAGGCAATGCACACGTTTAACAGCATGTTTTACGATGCCTGGCATGCAGAGGTCCGTAAAGACGGGGGCTGGGCCTACTTCTTAGGAAAAATGTCACACTGGAATTAAAAAATAGATGGAAACTGTCAGGAATCATTTCAAAGTGACACAGAGACATTGGATTAGCCCAGAGTCTGAGACCAAAATTGGATTTATCGAAATAAACATGTAACTCATGTATTCTGATGTGAACCTTTTTTGCTCTTCTTCAGCTGCTGGTTCAGAGAGTTCTCATCTTTTTGGTCGTGTTTGTTTGCATGAAGTACCATGATCATTAGCACCAGCTTTGTGAACACGTACAGTTTGTAGGGTTTTTTATATTAACGTATACTTCTTTATATTTGTGAGTGTGAACCAGTTCAAAATTGTTACCTATCAATGAGGGCTAGGTCATTTAATATTTATATATTAAAGACAAACTTGAGATAGCTCTTTGTAAGTGTGTACTTGCAAAACACTGTTAATGGAAACTTCAATACAATGCAACAGCCCCAGGTGTTGCCATATAAACTTTACACAGGCATTGGAAAAAAAAGTTCTAAACACTATAGAGATGGTGTTTGTTGAAGGGCTATTGCACTTTTACTGGCATTATATTTTTTCTTGTAGAATGATAATTTTAAAACTCTAAACTGTTGTAGTAAGATAGTCATGTTTTTAAGTATCAAGGGTTGAATATCTGAGAAGTGACTAAAATCAACAGTTCCAGGTACCGTCATGTTATTAGTTCATCATGTAATCCATGTTCCAGATCGTTGTCCATTGATGGTTCGGTTGACAAAGAACAGTTCATTTGAGTTTATGTGCTGGTTTGTAGCCAACAGGTCGTGTCCTGTTATATTTCACATGTATTTTGACCATTGGGTAGAAAAGCAAAAGTTGCAGCTCGTGAACCTGCAGGTTACAGTAATGTTTAACACATTCACCAAACAGCCACATTCCAGGACGTACCGGCCAGCGTTCCCTTGAGGATCTGCGTCCTGATGTGGAACTGCATGGATTGCTTCCTCTGACTTCATAAGGAATAAATGCGCATTTGTCCAGGAGTTTCCAGGGGGAACAATGATATCATTACATCCATAGTGTGCTGGGATTTCCTGTT